CACCAGTAGAGTTGAGATATCCGACGAAGCCTCCAAGACGCGGATTTCTCCCGGAAAAGTCTCAAGCCGGAGGGGCGCATGGCGACGCAGGGACAAAGACTGGTTGACGGCTCAGGGTCTTCAGTACCGCCTTGCCGTCTGAACTATATTACTCCTAGATTGGAAGTTAGTGTGGTGTTTGAAAAGGGTTTGGGGCCGCTTTGGAGACGTGATTCTCAGGTTTCATTGTTGTCTTCCACGTCGGCCCCGGAGATGGATGGGCGGCCATACACAAAGCGAAACCGAAGTTATAAACATGTTGGCCATTCTCATCGGGCCACCACGGCACATGCCGCCATCTTTTCCCCGAGGCATAGCTTTACCGCAGGGCCAAACCACAAGGCCAAGAACAACTGTCCTAAGGAGATACCGCGCAGACTTCATGCCAAGATGAGGCGCACTTTGTTGCCTCCAGCCAACATGCCGCTCAACTCCTCTACCACGCGAACGCGATCACGATGTCATTTCTCCAGAAACATGAGAGACCTAGCCAGCACTGCCTCCAAGCGCTTGGCAACCTTCGCATAGAAAACACAAATCCAGCATTTCATCATCCATCGCATCTATACTTCAGGAATCACATCATGCCTTCCCCACAGACGCGGCACCGTGGTCGCACAGACGACGTCCATCCCACCACACCAGATGGCACCGCACGTCAACCACAGCCCACGGGCCTTCCTCCGCCCAACGCCGGGAACCCAATATCAACAGCTCATCCCAGACATTTCCAGGATCCCCTGTATCCGAGGGGCAGCAGGAGAAGCTTCGTCCAATGCAGTGCCGTTCAGCAGCACTCCGCGCGTCCATCATTCGGAGGCCAATCTCGCCTTCCGGGGAGCCATCGGCCGCTGGCGCGAGCTGCTAAAGGTAATCGAGCCACGCACAAACGTACGGCGAGGAAAGACAAGGGAACGGCGGGCCGAAACCTTTTGCGAATTACCAGTTCTTGCTAACCACGAACAGATGCGCTGCGGTGGGGTTGGTGGTTCCTCGTCCCCTCCTCCTCGTTCTTTGCTGAGCTGGCCAACCTACGCGTGCATTGGCGCATTGTTCATGGCGAAAGGGTAAAAGAAAGCCCCACCAGCCAAATGCGCGCGACTGCCACCAAAGAGTGGGTGTCTGCCGTGTCCTTCAACCCAGACAAAATGCAATCGTGAATCGACAATCCAAATACGCCCCGCAACAACGAATAGACGTCGGCAATGATATCGCGCGCATTCTGCGAGAAAGAAATGGCCCACCAATCGGCGCCGGGATGCAGACTTGTCCTGCCGGATCGGGCAACTCCCGGACGGCATTCCGCTGCAGCTGGGGCCATGTGAGTCGTTTGGCGCAGTAGATCCGCAATGGAAGGGCAGGTTGGTGGGGGTGGAGGGGAGGCGACGGAACGGATGTGTGTGGCGTGCCGCACCCCGCATCCAAGAACGGTTCTGCGACTGGTCGAGCTGTTGGCTGTCAGAGTTGGAGATGGCGGGGTTCCCATTTCTTTTCTTCCGCCGAAGAACAATACGGGGAAAGAAAGTAAAGATTCTTCTTGACAGGTGAGGCGCGTTTCATTATTGCTTCCACGGCTTTATCAAAAAGCTCGATGGAAGTAAGGCGAGGCGGACGGGTTGATCGTTTCCTTCCCAGGCGTTTCAGCTCGTCGTCTCGTTTGCTCCTCAAGCTGAGGGAGACAAATGGACGGCAGGGCTTCAAAAACGTGAAGCTCGAGCGGTGCCAAAAGATGGGCTGAATGCCACAAGTTCAGTCCATCCTCCCTCGTCCGTGCAAGTTGAGTAGTCGACGCTCGCCGCGCCGACGGTCCCGTCCCATCAGTGACGAAACCATCGCCCGTCCAATCGCGATCGCGGGGGTTTAGCCTGCAGCGAGCAGGTGGTACCGCTCTTGCCTGGCAAGGAGCTTGTGCGCCCGTTGCTTGGAGCGGACTGGGTTGAGTTCGGCAGGCGGTAGACGTGGCCGTGGGAGCGAGATCTGATGGGATGGAGGGTTAGGGGTCTCTCGGGTGCCGGGATGGCGTGGTGTGGGTGGCTTGCATGATTGGAGTTGCCTTTTTGGGGGAATGGGATTTCGTATGTAAACCGATGATCTGCTCTTCCGGATTTGGGGCTTGTGCAGGCCTCAAGTTGTATGACCATTGACACATTCTCCATGGGTTCGAGGACGTGAGTTCTCTTCAGGTGGTGCGACAGAACAGACGAACAAGACGCCCGATCTCCCCGATCTCTGCGATCGCAGAGCCAACACGGCAAGATGGCTTCCGCCGAGGGCATTGGCATGAACCTCACGTACCCGAAATCGCCAGACCCGAGAGTCCCAGCGTCGGTGCTGAAGGAAATCGTAAGTCTCTCGTCTTGGTCTGTTTGTGCGTATCTGACCTCTAAAAGGACGATGCCAATATCCCGGTTTTCATGACTGGGATCCTCCTCCCGCACGTCGTATGCACTCTCTTCATCTTTTCTCGCATTGCCTCGCGGCTATGGGTGATTCGCAAGTGGTTTCTGGACGACACGCTCATCTTCCTCTCGTGGCTCTTTTCAACGGCCCTGTGCATCGTCTATGGCATCACCGCCACAACGCCCTCGCTGTTGGCGGCCCCATCAGAGGCGTCCCTGCTGGAAGATGTCAACCCGTACATCATGCGCACATACCTCGGGTTGATTTACTACCAACTCTGCCTCTGTCTGACAAAATTCTCCATCCTGGCATTCTATCTCCGGGTCTTTGTCTCCCGCCCGCGAGAGCGGCTGTTCGCATGGGGAACAGTTGTGTTTGTGCTCATGTACAGCGTACCGATGCTGCTGATGAGCTTCCTCCAATGCCATCCGGTGATGGGACAGTTCTTCGGGCGGCCGATGATGTGCTTCGGCTTTCCAGAGCTGTTGATCTCGAGCGCAAGTCTTCATTCCGCTACTGACGCGTGGTTGATCGCCATGGTCATCCCCTGCGTTGCCAGACTCGACCTTCCTCGGAGGGACAAGATTGCGCTCTCCGTGGTGTTGAGTTTGAGCATCTTCGTCATTGCAGCGAGCATGGTCCGTCTTCAGCTCAGCCTGCACAGGCACTACCTGCCCAACAGCACGGGTGTTACCAACACGCTCACGTTCTTCGTTATGACGATCCTGGAGTGCGACCTGGCGCTCATCTGCGCCAGCGCCCCGACACTGCGTCCGCTGCTGGCCAAGGTTTTCCCTGGCCTGATGAGTGCGGCGAAGAGAAGGTCGCTTGAGGCAACGGAGAACGAGAGCTTTGACCTGACGAGCTTAACCTACCACGGCTATCCATGGACGGAGCCCAGCACGCCTTTCGCGCGGAGCCGGAACGCGAGTTATGCCAGTCACTTGAACAAACTGCGGATGCCGGCACCGCCTGTGCCTGTATTGTCGATATCGCACATGGCGCCGACAACGCTCAGTCTGAGGACTGCGGTGTTGGGGGTGGTGCCGAAGAGTCGAGGCCGGCCTCTCACTGGAGACGGTAGACCTATGTTGGAGGCGACATGGGAGGCGAAGAGAAGCTCTTCGGTATACTCGCAGGATGATCGGTTTGAGGTGCCTGACACTCCTAGGTCTGGCAGGGGCGATGGAGTCGTATTGAAGGAGATGAGGTTGAGTCTCGGGCCCAGTGTTGGAGGAGGAGTTGGATTCATGGCAGAGAAGGCGCCATTGAGCCCGAATCGCATGAGCCCGATGTCCGATTTGAGTGGCGACACATACACTGTTGACAGAAACAGTGGGAGCACCAAGGGCGAAAAGTATGACGGAAGATTGACGACAGAGATACCCCGGGAGAAGGACAAGAAAGTCCCTCCTCGTAGGCCGAGACGGCCAGATGACCCAGCGTAATGATCAACGTAATGACAAGACACTTTCGTTAAGGAACCTTCAAACGTGTAATGTCGTGATATAGTCGTGATTCGGCCGAACAACGCCCGAGGCTAAGGTGGTTGGCGAGGTGGATGGATGGCAGAGATGAATCTCGGCCGACAGGCACATAAGAACCTTACGTAATACATGAGCAGGGATGGGGTACCCGGGACGGATCCCGATAAGACGGTCTGTGCATCATTTCTTCCTTCCTTCCGCCTCCTGAATGTCTCTCGTCGCGGCAAGAGATCACCAAAGCGTAACCAACTTCCGTGGTCGTCCTTCTCGTCCTCGCCTTCCTGGTTCTTGGCTGTCTTCATCGTCATCATTGTCGTCTTCCTTGTCTTTCTTGTCTTCCTCGCCCGTCTTCTTGGTTCCCGGCTGTGGTGATGAGGTGCGGCCGATCTGAGGCAAGGGCTCATTCGTCCCGTGCCGTGCCGTGCCGGGCTCGTAATACTGGGGCGATTTGGCCAAGGTTCGATGGGTCCGTAACAAGTTCCGTAACTGATGCGCCTTCTTAGATCGGCAGATATATCAATGCAACTTCACTCTGTTATACCTGTTTGTTGAGATGAACACCTTGCAATCGGGACGCCTGTCGCCGGCCCCATGTCGTCCCGGGATGACGAGGAGGCTCTCCCGTGCACCTCAGACGGTTGACTTGAGACTTAATTCTCCGATACAGACCCCATGCAAGCCATGCCGGATCTTGTCTTGACCTGAAGCTATTGACGGCTGGACGAGATGCATTGCCTCAATTAGCTGCGGGAGACCGGCAAAAACTCTGCTTCCTTCCTCAAACCACCACTTTTCGTGTTGCACCAAGTGGTGGCGACTCGATTCGGAGCATCGTGTATCTCAATGCGCCTTCCCTTTCCGACACGCCCTTCAGCTGCTCGATTCTTTCACTCAGTCCTCCCGTCCAAGGACGACGCTTGCTTCCACCGTTTGACTCATCGTCACTCTTTTCTTTCCTGCCTTTTGCAAGGGCAAACGGCGTACTTTCTTTTCTAATCCATTTCACCTTCCTTTCGAACTTTTACAAAACCAACAATGGGAAGGATCTAGTAACTTGCGACAAAATCAGTAACCATGCTGCAAATTCGGATCTTGCTTGCCTTTTGCTTCGTTTTTGCCGCAGTCATCGCTGCTCAGGTTCGCGATGGCGCTCCTGCTCTCGGAACATCAACTTCTTCGCTCCTGATTGATGCGGAGACATCGCGGGCGTCGCGAGAGGCGAGCACTGAGATCGCGCATCATCTCCAGACTGGCGAGAAATTGGCAGCAAAGAGCTTGGAGTCGGACGAATCGCGCTCCCGACACGATGGCAAAGAAATGATGCATCTCTGGGCCAGGCAGAATTCGACGCACGAAGCCCCTCCCCTATCGCGGCCAAATTCGAGTCGCTAACCATTTTTCGCAGACCCTCGAGCCAACCGTCGCTGTCGCTCTCTACCGCCACACTCACGAGAACATCCTTCATCGAGGTACCAAGCGAGACGCAGGTCGTCGTCTCCACGCTTGTCGAGACTGTGACCGTTGTCGACCCTATCTTCGTCACCAAGACCAGCACCATCGCGATCGCGCAAGCCCCGAGCGATTTGGCGAAACGAAGATTTGCTTCACCAGCAGCCAGTTACCATTGCGATTCGATCTCGTCGGCAAACACTGGTCTTCCTCGTGACAAGTCTCCGCGACCGGATTCGACATCACTCTCCTCTCTCCGAGACTCAATTCCTCCACCAGCCCCGACGACACTTGTTACCGCACGCCGCGGCGTTCAACGCCAAGTCTTGGATGCGCCGGTTACTGTCATTGGAATGGTCTCGATAGTCACCATCGAAACGACGGTAACTCTGACTAGGACAGGCAGCTTCGTCTCGACGGCAACGGTCGTGAACCCCGTCATAGTCTCTGTGACGGCAACTCCAACTTCAACCACTACCCTGTTCGTCACAGCTGGCGCTCCAGCTCCAACCTCGATTGTAAGCACCCAAGAAGTGTCTACAATTACCCCAGAGCCGACCATCCCGACAACGGCTTCCACTCGCCTGACTATCTCCACGCCAACCCAGACTTCGCTCGTCCCAACTTTGCTATCGAGCGATAAGAGTACCTCTGTTCTCCCAATCAGCAGCAGTATCTCGAGTTCGTCTAGCGCAACCAGTGGCATCACGACTTGGTTCACGGATGATCCCGATGGGTTCACATGGCCAACCGTAGCTCCGACTCCGACCCAAAACTCGACGCCAACATCTGCCAGTATCACGGCATCGTCGACTGTTGTTCCAGGCTCTGAATCATCGCTCAGGCCCGCACTGGATGATGGCCAAATCGCTGGGATCACCGTGGGCAGCGTCTTCGGCATCGTCCTCGTCGCGTTAGCTATCTGGCTCCTTCGAAAGCGCTCCAAGCGTCGCCGGCACGTTAACATTCCCGAGGACGACTACCAAATGACTTCAGCCGCCGCAGCAGCCGCTATTGTCGACTCATCGCCACCCACCATGAACCAACGCGACCCAAGCGGGCCTCTGCCCAGCAACACGAGTGGTGAAAGCTCCCGCGAGGGCAATGTTCGCATTGTTATCCAGCCAACTGAGAAACGTCGGACTCAGAGCAGCGGTCTCTTCCCTATTCCAAAGATCTGGCCGCAGCCGCCCGGATACAACGGCAGGACTTACAGCTTCTCGGCCGGAGAGAGTGCAGAGTCTTCTCCTCGCGAGCCGATGACTTGGAGCAATGCGAGCGAGTACGGAGGTTCGAGCAACCGAGAGGGTTTGCCTAGTAGTGGCACGCGAGGAAACATCGCGATGCGCAATGCTCGGAGGACTGAGGGTGCTGGCGGTGCAAGCGGCAGCAGATTTTGATGGAGAACAGGGTTTGGCAAATTGAATGGATCGCAAAAGACACGAGCAGATGATACTTAGATACCCCCTAATAATGAAGTCCGTATGCGCAATCACTGTTATAAAACTCGTCGTTCGCTTCTTGCCCGTGGGACCACAGCGTCTCAGGTTCAAGATTGATTGAAGGCTGTTCACTGGGACAAGCAGAAAATCTTGACTCAGGTCGTACTGCTGATCGTTATCCTGCGCCATACCTTAAGCAAGTCATCGGGCATTGTAATCCAGAGGGGGCTTGACCAAGACAACGGTTCAATCAAGGCTCACTATTCGCCCCAAGCCTCACAATCACCTGCATTGAATGCTCAGAATTAGGCAGGATAGTACATAAGCCTACTTGTGATGACCATCGTAGTGAGGTGTTGGAAGTCACATAGTAGCGGGCCGGGATTTGTTAAGAGGCGTCCACCAACTCTTGGCGTACACTCCGTTGCGTTGACAGCGTCCGCCCCCAAGTTTGACCCGGAAGGAAAATTTTCCGCTAGCCCAAAAACCCCCTAAACCCCCCTAAACTTCACACTTAGATAACTCTATGCGTACGTAATGCGTGTAAATGAAATATATATCAATCGATAGCCCTCAATTAGGTGATTATAATGATATCTTTTTTATCTACGCGCACTGCGTACGCATAGAGTTATCTAAGCGTGAAGTTTAGGGGGTTTTAGGGGGTTTTTAGGCTAGCGGACACTAAACGCAACGCTGAAAAGAAAAAACGAAACCCCTTGTACGTAGTGTTCACAGTGTCCTCCTTAAAAACCCCTTAAAATTAGCCTTAACTTCACACTTAGATAACTCTATGCGGACGCAATGCGCGAGAATAAAAAAGATATCATTATAATCACCTAATCGAGGGCTATCGATTGATATATATTTCATTTACACGCATTACGTACGCATAGAGGTATCAGTGTACGAAGTTTAGGGCGTTTTGGTGGTTTTTTGGTAAAAAGCCCCTTTTTTTGCCTTTTTCGGGCTAAAAACTGCGGGGTGGACGCTGTCAACGCAACGGAGTGTAAGCTTCACCCGCCAATCATTCAATGCTAAAACTACAAGTCACTGACTCCCGACGCCCTCAAACTCACCATCGTTCACTGCATTCTTAACGCCGCCCAAGGCGCTGACGTGTGTACCTCTTCCCGCCAAGAATTCATGTCGTGGGCACTGGTTCATCGAACTGCGTGGGCCTAATCTGCACCTCTTGCAGGCCGGATTTCCAGGAGACTTCCGCGGTTTTTCACAGCAATTTAACCCCCCCTCGAGGGAGTTGAGAGAAGCGCCTCTATCGTCTGTGTCCAACCAGTCTCCATCGGTCATATAGTGTTTTGTCGTCTCTGCGTCAACCAATAATATATCTGCCCAGTTCAAGGCAACCACGCCAAGGTAGAGGCTCATCGCAAAGGATGACCCGCCCCAGAGGTAGAAACTAGCGCCGTTATGATATTCTGAATATCAGCTACTGTAATGGGCAACGTCGTCATGACAAAAGCCATGTGTCTCGCTTCATGACGCCGAGAGCATACCTCAAGAGATGTCCGTCAGACTATCACTCCAGCCTCATGGCATCTGTGATTTTCAGTCTGATTATTCTTCAGCTTTAATGCGTGAGCTGCACTGTCTTGGGCCGCAGAGAAAGACTAGAGATACCGCCCGACATTTTTGCCAAGCTGAGACAACTGTGCTGAAAGTTAGTGACCAACGAAACCCTTCCACGGTACACATAGATGCTAATCTGCATAGCACAGCCTCTCGGGAAGTCGGGGTGCTTCACTGCAACTTTATCCCCCTAAGCGAGGATCTCGAGAAAGTAATGAAAACGTTCACAGGCTCCACTGTATGGTTCCACCACTATTGTATCTCAAGCAAAGTTCATCAACACTGTGATCAGCCCTTGAACCATTGATATCAGGTACTCCGTAGCTCAGTAACTTCAAATATGGTTAAGCTCGAGGACTTCATTCATGGTTCTGTCGCCGTAGTCGATGGTATTTTCTTAAAGGCCAAGGGAAAATAACGTAACTAGATTTGCAGCAGCCAGTCAACAACAGCGTGTTTGCCCAATGCTGCATGCATATGTTCGCAGCACTGCAGCTTAATCCCCTGAGAGTCCCCTAACGATAAACATTCAGTATAATAGTAGACCTCCCCGAGGGCCTGTGATACGTAGAATCGATGGCAGGCTCTAGATTACTTCACTGCATGTTAAATACGCTCATGTGCATTAGCAGCATTGTGAATTGGTTTGATAGCTATTCAGCCACCGGACTGTTATTTCAGAAACTCCGGAGCAGCCCTTATATCTAAGATTCTGATGTGAACAGATAAAACGTTGAATAAACGTGTAAAACCTTCAACTTTTCACAGAAAAGCCATTCTCGTTTGAAAACTCAAAGCTGATCTGTGAGTTATGTTCTGTCACTCAGAAGTATTAGATATATTTGGTCTATCCATCGTCTATGCTTTGTGTTGAACATAATCCCGCTCGTCCCAGTCTGCGCATATAGCAGAGCGGTGATCTTGTGTTCGGCTGCACGTCAATCATTGGCTTCAATTGTCTGTAACGTTTTCTTCGAGCATTTGTAATCAGTTGCCGTCGTTGCGTCGAGGAATGTACGACTTGATGTCGGAAACGCAGACATTTGACGCGTTGGTGGCGAGCTGCTGGCAATCCTTGTCGGTGTAGAGCTCAACTGTAGCGAACGCGAGTCAGTCAACCGCACAGGCATTTCGGCAACAGAGAGGAAAGGGTTTACTCACAGTTGAAGATGGGCGTCAAGCCGCTGGCGGAGAATCTCTTGTAGGTGGTGTTGGCAACGCCCATGGGGATGAGTTGGCACTGGTTGATGTAGTCGGGGGGGATGGCAAGAGACTGGCCACCCTCGGTCTGAAGGGGCACGCCGTTGCAGTCGGCGTTGGCATCGTAGAACATCTTGATGTTGCCCATAATGGGGGTCGCGCTGGCGGTGGCGGCCAGGGCCAGGAGGACGGAAGTGAACTGCATTTTGGTAGCTGTAATGGGTATCACTGGAGTCGAGAAGTTGTCGGTGAAGTTGAACTCGTTCGCAGATGGGGAATCACCCTTTTTTATTATTGTTGAGTATGAGGTCACTGCTCCTAGATGCTGGTTGCCAATGTGGGACTAAAGTCAAATACGAGGGGCAGTGGGGAACATTTGGCAAGTCTGCCCCCAGCTTCATGATCTATATATGGATTTTGACTCTTGGAAACAAGGATCAGCAACGTATGATTGGTAGGTTCATCTATTTTGGCTCCGCAATCCGGGCTGGTTTCCGCGGAGCCAGAGAGATTATCGGTATGCATTGAGCCAAAGCTTCGGGAAGGCCAGTTATAGGAGTCAGTTACGAGCCTCAATCAAGAGGCGGTCAACGGATACGAGTCCGAAGTAGTCGCACGTTTCTCCAGCCACCACAACTAACATTTGCGAACACAGTCAACTCACGGGAGAACGACATGACACGGTCAAGAGGCGAAAAAAAACTGACTAATTCATCAATACAAACAACAGACCGGCAATTCCAGGCCAGTCTTGTCGCTTGCGAGGGCTTCCCTAGAATAAAGAACTCAGCAGCTTCGAAACAAATTCGACTTTGTTTCAGTTTTGCCCGGATGTTGCGAGTAAGAATTATATTCACTGGCAAAAGGACGCAAGTTATCTTGTCAGAATGATAGGGTTGAATGAGTAAAATGTCATTCATCTACCCTTGAGCTGCACCTTCCAACCTTGTGGTGTTCTACATCTCTACCCAACCTCCTCCGGTAAATGTTTTCCGCTACTAGCGACTTCAAGCCTTTCTTCTGTAAGTGCTGTGGCACGCCTTGAGGCTGTGTCTTATTTCAGCTCATTTGCCGACAAAAGGTCGTGAACCAGTTGAAACCGCGAGTGTGTTACCAAGAAGTAAAGATAGTCGCCAGGGCTTACTTTTGCGTAATAAAGGCTCAGCTTTTCAACCAAGGAGCATTTGAATCGAGTGTATAGACTATATAAGCTTTATGATCGCGACAGTGGCAAGCTGCCTCTTGAGTTATGAAACTCTCCAAGACAGGAAGATGGCTTGTTTGGAGGAGCTTAGCCACCCACCACGTCTTCGAATGCCACATGATCACCAACAGAGACTCCCTTGGTGGCTCAGTCGAAGTATACTAAAGAAGTATTTTGTCTGGACGGAGTAGAGGTTTCTTTGCGTATAAAAGCGCTCTCATCTGCTTAATTTTGTCAAACTTGAATATACAAACTACAGCAGAATCCTTTTGATACTTATAATACAAGAAAGATATCACATACATCATGACGACGTCTGCAAACTTTCTGTAGAGCTTCGCATCTTTGAGCGTGGCTACGGCCATTCCCACCGAATCGAGCCGGAAGGAGATGAGCCCTTTGGAGCGTCTTCTTGGAGCCAACGGAGAGCCGGTAACGTTTTGTACTCCAACAAACACGAAGCATTCTTGAGTATCGAAACTGACCAGACTCAGAAAGTCGAACAGTGTCTGGCAAAGGGCGCCAGCTGCTCTTTAAACAGCGAGTGTTGAACTTGGTACTGTAACTGGTTGCTGCCTTTCATCGGGAAATGCAGGCAGACTGTCGGGCCGCCGGCCTGCGGCGAAGCATGGGCCAAGGACCTCAGTCACCTTGGAGAATTGCGCAAGGATTTGCTGCACAAGAACGTTGGACTGTAGGGGCAGGATGGACCAGACGAGCTCCATGGGCTGACATTTTCTCAAGTTTCTAACCACAGTCTCTACCGAAAAACATACGCACTAAACTTTGGAGCTATGTTTTGCGTCCATTTCCAAGTGTTCCAGTGAGACGTCGCCTTTGACTTCTGTGCCAGCCATCATGTTCGCTGCCTGATGATCTTCAATCTCAACCACACGATCACCGAATGCGGCTGCAATTTCTTCCAACGTTTTCTGCTTGGTTTCAGGGTAGTATAGATAGATTATGACGGAGAATACGCTGCAGCAACCGACGAAAACGTAGTAGTAGTTCTCATGGATTGTGGCAAATGCGCTGGGGCCGGCTTGGGTAACCCCGACGTTGACGATGTAGTGTGCTGCAGCGGCGACGCCCATGATCTTGCTTCTGATGGAAATGGGAAGGACTTCGGCACCATAGATCCATGTGACAGGATTGATGAGGCTGTCTGTAGTGTTCATGTTAGCGACAACAGAAAAAGACGATTTCATGGATATGTCAACTCACAGTAACCCACAGCAAATAGATAGATACCCAAAATGGCGAAACCTTTGCCGATGCGATTGTCTGTGTTCTGAAACGAGCGTTGCATTACAGAACAGTAGATTTCAACGACGATGACCCAAGCGACGCCAGCAAGGAGCATCCTGAGGTGTAAAATAAGAGGTCAGCTCCCAAATCCCTCTGATTCAGACAGTGTAATGACAAGGTGATCAATATCTGATTTACTTACTTGCGGCGACCCCATCTATCCGGCAAGATGAGAACAGACACTGTTGTGGCGAGAAATGCGCAGGTACCCCAAACGGCGGCAAGGGCGAGTATCGTCTTCGAGTCAATGCCGAGGGATCGGTAGGGACGCTGAGCATGTTAGTGACATGCCAAAATTCTATGGATATCCACTAACTTTGATAATACTATTCGGCTTATTGTCAGTATCTATATACGACAAGCGATTATGCCAGCTTTTACGTACCTGGACAACGTTGACTCCCGTGACGCTTGTCAATATCTGGACTGAGACCGAGCTGAACAGAAGTTTCAAGATCAGCGTTCTTTATGTGAGTGAAAGTTATTCGCCCATTCAACTTACACCAAAACACGGCGTCGATACGTTTTCCAAATTTCTTTGAATGTTGGGATTTCTCTGTGCATCTCGAACTCGATTTGAGCTTTCATGAGTCCGAACTCTTCTTGCACAAGATGCGATTGGAGGTCGCTTCGGATTCTTGTGAATTCATGTCGCGCTTCCTCGACACGGCCTCGTTGGATCAACTGACGGGGAGAGTTTGGCATGAACGTGATGAGACCTGTGAAGAGAACAATGCCCCAAGGAATCTGCAGACCAAGCGGTACCCGCCACTGGGCCTGGCCATACGGGGCAAAACCACCGGCAAACCCCACCCAATTTGAAGTCATGGTACCGAAAGCAAGCCCAACGCCATTGAGACCTCCAATGAGGCCACGGATTTTCGGTGGGCTGATCTCGGAGAGGTAGACAGGAACGGTGCCACTGAGGGCCCCAACGGCGATGCCCGCTATTATGCGACCCCCGAGGAACATCCCGACGTTGACTGCACCAGTCTGGATGGCACATCCAAGACTGACGATGATGCATTGCAATTGCATGAAGCGGAGACGGCCGAGTTTGTCGGCGATGAGGATCTGCATGATAGCGCCAACCGCTTCACCTGCGATGTAAGTCGCCACCACCTGCACAGTTAGAAAGGTTGACAAGTGGGCATCGAGTGATCTTACAGATCCTATTATGGCGTTCGAAGGGTTATTCATGTATTCGACGAAGCTCGAGTGAGCGATAGCTATTATCCTGTCAGTCCAATTACTACTCTCGATTCTCAGTCGGTGCGATTGGTTTTGGACGGGAGATCTTACTGGTCGTCGCGATGCCGGTGTCAAATCCCTGAAGCCCAAGTACAACTCATCAGTCGTTTGCTTTCCAACCGTGTGGTTACGTGATGAACGCGTTCTGCGACGGAGGCTAAGAACTCACATAGAGAAAGGTGCCCAGGCACGCGAACATCGCGACGAGGATTGTGTAGTGGTCCTTCATGGTGATAGCGATTGCCGATCAGACCTGACCTCGATACTAAAAGAGAGTCCGCCGCAAAGCAGTAGATGACACGAGAACATAACAACGCCCGGAAAAGCTGCATTAACATGCAGGCCGTCTCAGTTGTATAGTGGGGCGGCTTTTCCACGATGACGGAACTGAATTCCCGGGCGCGTCATTTGGCGGGACATCATCAAGCCGGACAACATCCACGGTGCTTAGAGATTCCCCACCTTTGGAGGCGTGTAATTGCACCGGATCGTCAGTGACCGGAGCAATGATCCCTCACGTATTCAATGAGTCCAGTGACACGTCCAATGTCATCCTACAAGAATGAAGGCTGGGATTAACTTGCGTGCGCCATATGTCGATGAGCTTTGAGACCTGGTGCCTTCAACCATTCTTCTGTGTTGCCCTACTTCGTTGCTTCATCTCTGAAATCATCACACCGCAGCCATGGCAATCAATGGAGTCAACAGCGATGGTATCGATAGCAAGACCAATGGGTTCGCCCACAAGCTGAAAAACAACCGCGCCAAGGCCATCGTCGATGCGGCATCAGCGGGTGGCTATGCTATTGCGGCCGTATGCTGCTACAACCTCGAGGCTGTCGTCGCGACTGTACGCGCGGCAGAAGCAAAGCGATCGCCAGCCCTTATTCAGCTATTCCCTTGGTCTATTGAGTACGCAGACGGTCTTCTTCTGCATGCGGCAGCCGAAGCGGCTGGCAATGCTTCCGTCCCTATCGGCATTCATATGGATCATGCCCAGTCTCCGGACATCATCAGGCGGGCCGCTGATCTGGGCGGCTTCGACGGCATTATGGTCGATATGAGCCACTACGAAAAAGAAGAAAATCTGCGGCTCACCAAGGAACTGGTCCAGTACTGTAATGAACGCGGCATAATTACCGAGGCGGAACCTGGCCGTATTAATGGCTGCGAAGACGGCATCGCTGACACAGGCGACATGGAGGAGATTCTCACGGGTCCTGAACAGGCAGAGGAGTTCGTTGCTTGCGGTATTGACTGGCTAGCACCTGCATTTGGCAACGTTCATGGGGTTTACGGGCCCAAGGGACCGCAGCTGGATTTCCCTCGTCTCGATACTGTCCGGCAGGCTGTGGGGGACCGTGTGCACCTCGTGCTCCACGGCGCCCACGAGAAGTATTTCCAAGAGGAGCTGTTGCGTAAATGCATCTCGTACGGCATGGCAAAGGTTAATGTGAATGGTCCTGTGGCTGCAGCATGGACCAAGGTGCAGGGCGAGCTGACTGGCAAAGTCCCCCTGACGACGGTCATAGAGGAGCAGACAAAGGCAATGCAGGATGTGGTGGAGTACCACATGGACTTCTTGATGTCTACGGGTAAAGCATAAGACTTAAATAGGAGGCATTAAGTAGACTTGAAGCACTCAGTTGTCGCAAAACCTATGAAACACCATTTTCACGATGACCCTCGCACATAATACCCTCAGTGTCTTCTATCCCAAACCGTCTTACTGAACTGGAGTATGACTCCTAGAAGGTGTGGCACACAGGTCGCAAGATTCTCGTCAGCCATATTCCCATATTCTCGGAAAAGTTGCCGTACCAACACTTGACGGCGCAATAACGAGCCGGCGGGTCTCCGCTTAGCCCGCCGAACGAAGACAAGGATAATCCAGATTACCCCGCGCGGTACAAGTGCTTCTATCGGTCAACAAGGCATAGAAAGGTACAGCCCGCCTTAAGTCTCGCCGGCCCATTACCAGACTTGACTGTTGTGTACCACTTCCTCAGGCCTTACTTTCGTTTCCAGGTTGAGTCACTTGGGATCCATGGGTCTGAACATGGCTGCGCATGCAAAGGTACTGCTTCTTGGCAAAATTGACCAGTAAGTGACCGAGCATTTCCAAGTCAAATCACTTTAGCCGCCAACCAGAAACGGAACTGATCATTTCAGCGCAACTGTATCCTGGGATTCACTCTCGGAGCATGCACAACTTGTGAAGCCTCAATCAACTAGCAGAAAAGAGTTTCTCATTGAGCTTGAAAGTGGTAAACTGGATGGAGTTGTTGCCATATGTGATCGTGCACCTTACAGTCTGGCAGTCACTGGAAAGTTCGACGAGGAGCTAGTGCAGGCACTCCCCAAAAGCGTTAAATACATCTGTCACAACGGCAAGTAAGATGATCCAGTAACCACTGCGCAGTAATTCTGACTCGAACCTGATCTTTAAGGGCTGGGTATGATAATATTGACGTGGTAGCTTGCACCGCCAGAAACATTCTCGTCTCAAACTGCCCCGAGGTTGTGGACGATGCTACGGCCGACACCGCTGTATTTCTGATCCTGGCTGCGCTAAGAGGCTTCAACAACGGCATTATGTCCATACGTAATAGGAGTTGGACGGGCCACGTACCTCCAGGGTCTCTTGGCCATGATCCCCAAGGCAAAACTCTTGGTATTCTGGGTCTCGGCGGCATCGGCATCAATTTGAAGCGAAAGATGGAAACTTTTGGGATGAAGGTTGTCTATCATAGCAGATCACCATCTGTCCTGTCAGACGGTGCCGAGTATGTCAGCTTTGACGAGCTGCTTACAAAGAGCGACGTATTGAGTCTTAATCTACCACTGAATGTGAGCTCTATCACAGCCGCTGTTGTTCTCTGCATAATAATGAGCAACTCTGACAATCACAGGCCAATACCCGAAACATCATCTCAACCGGAGAATTCGAAAAGATGAAGGATGGCATCGTCATTGTCAATACAGCCCGAGGCGGCGTTCTAGATGAAGAGGCCCTGGTCAAAGCCTTGGATTCTGGCAAAGTTCTCTCCGCAGGGCTCGATGTCTACCAAAGCGAGCCTGACATCCACCCCGGTCTTCTATCAAACCCACATGTTTGCATGCTACCGCATATGGGAACATCGACTGTCGAGGTAAGGCGTTCTGAATGAGTGCTCCATAACATGCCAGAGCAATTCAAACTGACATTCGATCGCAGACCAAGACAAAGATGGAAGAGTGCACAATTTCAAATGTCCGGTCGGGTATTTTGACGGGAAGGCTGGTTACGCTGGTTCCGGAGCAGGCAAAGCTTAAAGGTGTTTCTTCTTGATAATTGAATGTACCTAATATTTCACTTTCCTCAAATTAGACCAATATTTCAAGGATGCCGTGAAAGACTCAAAGACTGGACCCAGCAAACATCCCATATCGTCACAATAGAACAATTCTCGCCTCGGCCATATTTCACAACCAGTCTGCATCAAACTCTCTGCCAACTCCTCTCAGCCCAACCTGAGGCCCAGAAAAGTTGAGCAAGTCCGAAAATCCGACATCAAGAAAGTCGTCAGATCCAGCGAACAAAGCCATAGCCTGACAGTCAACCAGAGCCCCTAGCCTATTCTGAAGTCCATACGCCGTTCGACGGGTGTCATTGAATATTTCCAGACCGACTGGCCCAGAAGGACTATTCTTCGTATCAACAATCAACTGAACCATATCCGAGTAGCGTTGACTACATGGCCAGTGTATCGCTGATTGTCTCAAAGTATATAGGAGAGCCTCCAAGTCGTCAGGCACAGCTCCGCGCGCGGTTTCATAACCCATTGTCCAGAGCATAACCAGGCTCCGCGCGGTAACCCACACCACGAAGGGAAACGTGGGTCCTAGCTGTTGGATCTGGTGAGACTCCAGAGAAGCTGCGAGGTTAGCAACGCTGCGGACCGCCTGCCGACAGCGGCTTCGGGCCGAGGTTGAGGGCTTCAGGTAAGGTGAGGCCGTTGAGGGGAACGCCGCAACCGTGTACATGCGTATGTTGATTCTGTAGTCGAGTCAGTCCATCGAGGATCTGTTGATTGGGTGGAGACGCAATGCCACTTACAGGTAGAAAGTAGCATGGACCAAAGTCCAGATCGGTTCAAAGTTTGCGGGAGGCTCGCGAACTTCCCATGGTAGATTTTCGAACCAAGTGAAGAGCGAAATATCGAATCGACGGAAGCTACTTTGCCACTCCTCACAGCTAGCTGGCAGGGCAAGGTTCACCGGCTGGATTAGCAGCTGGTTTGACTGGTCGACCATTGTCAAGACATCGATATAATAATGCCAAAGGTTGACAGGTTTTTGATGGTCAAGGTAAGGCCTCGTAGGAGACGGCCTTTGAAACCATTCAGGCACCACGTTCTGACCCCACTCTCCGTCACGGACGGGGTATGGTAGCTTGATCAACCTGCTGTCGATTGAGCCTGGTTGACCCAGAGGCACACTTGAGAAGCGATCGAGGGCATAAATAGTCCAGAAAAGACGATGCTTCTGCTCTTCCTCGACATTCGAGTGGATGTCACTACTACTGCCGCTGATGGACATATCGTCACCGCCTTGGCCTTTGTCCGGAGCATCATTGTCGACGAGGGAAGATGAGCGCGGGTCCAGAGCTGTGTTATTGGTACTGGCGAGGCGAAGCTGGCGCGTCGATGTTACCAGCATAGCCATAATATTCCATGTCCTTGGCCCAGAGCCCTGCCCGATAGCATCAATGGCGAGAAAAGCGAGGGCTTGCGTTGATGCGAGTGATGCAACGTCAATTGATCGCAGAAGAATCTGTTCTCTCGAGGTCTTTATTTGCCCTTCGCGAACTTCGGCAGGCGGTGTTGCTTTTCTCCAGAATCGGTAGGCGACTACAACGATGCCGTGGAGGACAACTTCTTGCTCTGGGGAGAATGCTTTAGAGAGAAAGCTTGGCCTATGGAGCAGTGGCGCCCAGGGATATACGTGCTCAAAGAAAATATCAATAAGCTCGCGAATTATTGGTTCAGGTGGCAGTGATGAATCGGCGGTTGTGGCTGTCGGCGTGTTTGTTACATCCCACGACTCAAGGGGAGGACGGGGATCAATCCTCTCTAGCAGCGGTGATGCGGCAAACATATTCAGATCTGTCGCCGTTGCAGTTGATGCAGTAGTTGGCAAAGAAGCAGAGACCGGTTGCCAGAGTGGCTCTCCATCTGAAGGTCCCGTTTGTTGCTGCTCGCGGTCACTGGTTGTCGGCGGGGGATCGGGCGATGTACCCAATGCTGAGAGCTGAGCCTCCAGCGGCTGGGTCTGTATGGGGCCTTTCTGGTAATTCTGAACGCAACTGAGGATCTCCTGTACCGTACGAGACATGTTATCCATGTTATCCTCCAATAAGCTGAGGCGTTGCTCGACTGCCTTGCCATAGCCCGGACGTAAACCGGGCTGGCCCTTCTCCTTGTACTCGCATACCACACCTGCATAAGAACTTCCGAGTCAGTTATGATTGATACAAAATAATCTTTCAAAGTAAATCAGATTATGATATACCTTTCCGTTGGCACATGCCACACTGAGGGCGAGAGCTGTCACATCGAGCTTTCTTGACCTTGCAGTGCTCACATCTGTGAATCCAGTTTAGTAAGTCCTCCCAAGGCCTAGTGAAGTGATCTGCAATACATACGCTTTCGATATCACCGCTTGTCTCTTGCGAGGGCGATAAGTGCCCTCCTCGTTATCAGAACCACCCTCGTTCGCTGATTGGGCAGGCATCTCGGAGTATCATTGATCAGTGATGCTACCTTTGGAGGTGAGAAAACAGATCCAGACGTGCTTCAATGTTCGAAGCGAACTTCAGCGGAAACAGAAAGCGTAGTCCATCCGTGACCTCATCTCCACAATTAGACCAAGGTTTGACGAGCATGCTTCCCCGCAAGCCAAGCCCTTCCCCCGGTTATGTGGCATTGCACGCGGGGTAACCCACTAGACCTTGGCAATCCCTCCCGCGATCCGGCGCAATCATCTCCCGGAGTTGTCACAACCATTGTCTGCGCATGATGTGGCGGTAATGAACGTTGAAGCTATGGAAAACTACAAACTAATTGAACATGAAGGGCAAGAATAGTGAGTGTTGTCGGTGTCTCAATACATGCATGTCTCAAATCCATCTCCTTCGCAGATTACTAGTACGCTTTTACACCAGCCAGTCTGAGCAGTTGATCACTCAGGATCGGCTTCTCCAAAGGTTCCGAGCGGTTTCGAGGGTCGACGGTACCATCAGACAGGCGCGCCTGCATGTCTCTGAGTTTTATGTTGTCGTGAGGCCAGTGGGTTGTCGCCCCGTTCACTTGGAAAACTTTGCTCTTCTCCTCGAGGGCCTCTTTTGATGCCAACTCAGCAGGTGCATACGCCGCGTAGATGACAGTCCGAACTACATCGCTCTTCTTTGTAGGTTCTCCGCCCCAGTGAATGCATCTCGAGTCCCAAAGAATAAGGTCCCCCGGCTCAGCCTCAACCTTGACGGGACGTACCCCCCGGGCCTTGAACCATTCCATATCCTTGTCATCGAAGTAGCGATTGTCCCTCCACTCCCACGTTGCCGGGTCTGTCTCTTTGTCGAAGAACTCCTCCACAAGCGCAGCAGATCCGTCCATGACACATAGAGAACCGTCTTCTGGACCCGCGTGGCTCAGGTTGATTATTCCCTGGATGCAGTGCAGCCCGCGCTTGCGCGGTGCTTGATCGACGTGGGGCCAGGGCGCGCGCGCCTCCTTGAGATTCGGCAGAGTGATGTTGAGCGAGTCGAATGAGACGATCAGTTTGTCAGTCCCCCAGACCTTGGCGAATGCGTCGAGAACGCCCGGCTCCTGGCGGGCCTCCCACATGAAGCGTTCGTGGACGACGCTGTAGTTTTCGTAGGTGTTTTTGTCCGTCTGGACGGGAAACTTGGCGTCTTTCCACGTTGAAGGCTCGTTAATGTCGAGAGAGTTGTCGAAGGACTTAAGCCATGCGAAAGCCTTTTGCTGATAATAGCGGGCCTTCTCTGATGGAATGGCTCCTTTAACGACGCAGTAGCCCTTGGCTTCGAGTTGGTCGCGCCAGTCGCCGCCTGGGTTTTCAATCCTTGATGAATGTCAGTCATGCCTCGGGATATAAAAAGATATAAAGCCTCAAGAGCCACTACTTACTTGAAAGGACTGTCTACCTTGACAGAAGCAGGATTCGTAGCTGTGGTCGCCATGATGAGAATAAGTCTCCAAACGTGGATGGAATGTTGTGAGAGCCGGTGTGAGACTGAAAGTCGATATTGATGCAAGTTGCTGTGTCACATTCAATCGAACGCGCTTATCATTCTAATACGCGACTTCTCGTATAAATGCCTTCGATTTGAATTTCAAAATGCAGCAATTTTGACCACACCGTAGGCTTCGAGCAAATAGTCCCCGGCGTTGCTGGTGCCACCGGGGTATTAATCCCCCGGCTGGGACGTCTCATCTTCCCGGCTACTGCCAGCGGCGGATCATCCGACCGGGACGGCACCCAGATCTAGGTCCGACGTCTGGCGGTAATCTTTGCATGGAAGCAATTGAAAACATTCGAAGTGATCGTGGTAAAAACTATGAATGAGAAAATCTTGTAAATATTTTGCTGGAGTTTGACCTTTTTGCCAAAGATTATATCAAAATGCGCGTACTCATCACTGGCGCCGCCGGGTTCATCGGTCAGATTGTCGCCAGTAAATTGTTAGAAGACGAAAGCAATGAGCTCGTATTGACCGATGTTATCGAACCGCCCATACCCAGCTCAAAATCCCACAACAACGTGAAGCTCATCAAAGCTGATCTAGTCGATGAGGCGACAAAGGTGGTGCTGGAGAGTCTTGATGCTGCCATACTTCTCCATGGGATCATGAGTTCCGGCGCAGAGGCAAACTTCGAACTGGGTTATCGCGTCAATGTTGATGCAACACGCTCAGTTTTGAATCTTCTTGCCAAGAGATGCCCCGGCGTTCGCGTTCTCTACGCATCGAGTGAAGCCGTGTACGGCAGGCCGGTCCCCGCGCAGAATGTCACGGAAGACGATATCCCGAGTCCGGAAATGTCCTACGGTTGCCGGAAGGTCATATGCGAAACCCTCAACGACTACACCCGTAGGAATATGATCAATGGCTTTGCCCTCCGGTTTCCTACCATCTCCGTCCGACCGGGCCCTCCCAGCACAGCGGTGTCAAGCTTTCTTTCGGGGGTAATTCGAGAGCCACTCAATGGTCAGAAGTGCACCATCCCTTTGCAAGATCGAGCTTGGCGTCACTGGATGTCTTCTCCAAAGACACTGGTACACAACCTGATGGTGGCTCTGACCTTACCGAAAGATGCCCTGCCCCCACACCGGAGAGCCGTAAATATGCCGGGTTTTGGCGTGACGGTGCAGGATATGCTGGACGCGCTAGAGGAGGTTGGTGGCAAAGATAAGCTGTTACTGGTTGAAGAGAAGGACGACCCAGAGCTAAATTCATTGCTGTATTCCTGGGCCGATCATTTCGACAACAGCCTAGCCATATCGTTGGGGATGAAGCAGGACACTTCTTTTGTTCAGTCGGCAAGAGACTATTTGGAGACTTTGTAAACTTGGTAGCAGAGAAAAGGTTCCTAGACCAAATGGTCCATCATTGGGGTCGAAACAGGGGCTTTTGAAGATTGTGCTACTCGAGTAAAAATTCGTTCTTTACGTTTTCTCAATATCATTCTTGAGCCTTCTGATTCGCTGTCTTCTATCCGGTATTCCATTTAGCATGTGGAATATCTCTGTCTGTTCTTTGTTTGTGTATTCGAGTCGATCCATCTACTGGTCCTTCTGGGTTCATGTCAGGATTCCTGCTTTGCCATACGCTCTTCTCAGTCGAAAGTTTACGCATCTCTCCCCTATTATGTGCGTATTGTACAGAGCCTTCCTACTTCTCTCAAGACAACGTTGAAAAGTACCGATCACGGTTGTGTACAGAACTCAAGGAGCAAACCCTTTCAATATCTACAGGATGTTCGTAACAAAGATGATAAATGACCCCACCGCAAGCCCCAGTGGGGAAGAGAAAGGTGGACAGCCTGTCGAGCCCTGTGTTACCACAACAATACTGTTCGATGCTATAGCTGTAGTTTGGTCAGAACGATAATCGGTGATCCTGTGGTCTCGTAAAGGATACTCACGAAATGAGGGCTTCGCTTCGATACCTGAGCTTGAGCCTTGAGTGGGACCCAGGCCAGGGACGCCGTTGATCGGTGAGAAGGCCGGATTGCCGTACTGTCCAGCTGAAAGGCTCGGCGCGATACCAGAGTCGCTGTAGGACACCCCACTCCCCTCCACTCCACCCAGTAGAGAATTTTGTCCTGGTCTATTCGCCTCGCCCGACGCTGGCATTGAACCCGGACCGGGACCGGGAGGGGGACTTGACCCCGCTGCAGAACCCAGAGTTGGTGCTGCAGTGGGTGCCGCAGTAGAAGCAAAGCCAGCCCCAGCGGCATCGCCATCTTGCGAAGGGGAAGCCCCAAGTGAACCGCTGATGTTGATTTCGTAGCTCTTTGCCCCAGGTGGCGCAGGAAATGGCCCCGACATGTCCGTGATATATGCAGCATCTGGCACCGGGTATGTAATTGTGGCCGTGACTGGCTTGTCACCGCACGTCGTGCAGGTCTGTACTTCGGCGGTGAAGCCAAGTGGCACTGACAACGAAGCTACGGTAGGCTTCGCTTCAACACCGCTGTACGTCTCTGTCACCGCGTATACTTGACGAGAGAGGCCGGTCGAGCAAAATGAATCGTACGTCGTCGTATACGCTATGGTATGAGCGCAGGCGTCGCATCCACAAGAGTTGCAGCTGGGGGCCTGTATTTGTACCGTGATGGGCTCATGCTGAGCTACTGGCTTCTGTACAAAAGGTCTGACACAATGGCCGTTGCAAACCGAGGGTGTCTCGAATGTGAAGGCGAAGCATTGTGTGATTGTGGCCGTCCGCCATGTCAGAGTAATTTTCTCGGGTGCCGCAGAGATGGCGGCGGCGGAAGTGACGGCGACTGCGGGCATCCAACGATGTCCCTGCATGATGTGTGCTTCGTACTGTATGACGGCGGAGAAAGAGTTGGGCGTTGCGCTTATAACCTAGACGTAAATCCGATGTGCTAGCAGCGTATGTATATCTCTGGGCTGGTGTGCAATGGTGACGAAGCAACGCGGTTTATGCCTTTCGAAGATGGCCCCCCTTGTGAGCGCAAGTGTGATGGGCAAGGGGGAAACTAAAGCAAAGATTTGTGGCGCTTCCCCAATGATATACAATCTTCACGACGGGTGAGATCTGGCACCCAGATTATCCGGGAATTCACCTGTTTGCAATGTCTCACAGATGAGAGACACGTTGTTGTTTACATGTTGCATAAGAGTGATAGTGCAACGGGAATGAAGATACTTGTTTATCTAATTTCAGCGTACACACGTTCCTGTCTCCCTGTCTGGGTTTCAGCCCTTCCATCTCCCAACATGCCAAAAGGCAAATCGACCGAGACAGATATGCGAATGTCTCTATGCCAAAGGGGCAGCGATGTTTTTACATTGGCTCGAGATATCACATCACCTATTTGCACTGCCCCTCCCGGTCCATCCGCGTGCGCATTTCACTCCTCTGTTGCCTCCTTCAACAGACCACAAGACGCATCAACACCTCCAACTGACAATTGCTCCTCCCACTCACATCACTGACATGGCACGGCTAGCGCTTGTCGCTGCTGTACTCGGTGTGGTCGCCACAGTGGGTGCTGCTCCTCCGGCTGATGATGTCGAACGACTATGGTGCTTCACATATCTTTCAACGTACCTCGAGCCTGTATCTTTCGGGACCACACTAGTTCCTCGCAGCTCGACCGTGGGTTTGGCTCAGTCGTCATCAGACTCTGCTCCGATGACCGTGTCGGCGTCAACAGCCGCGTCTACGGGTTCCGAGATCTTTGCGACGTCTGCCGAGTCAGGAGGCACATCATTCGCGCTATCCACAAGCGCATTTATCCCGGGATCTTCGATACCAACCGAATCCATACCGACCAGCGCTTTAATATCATCGACGGCTGCTGGAGGCACATCCGTTTCAAGTGTACCCTCTACGACGGTCGCGATCTCCGAAGTATCTGGCTCTTTTGCCATCACGACATCGTCACCTGCTCCTACAGCTTCAGTAATACCTGGTGATCGAGTGATATTCCTTATTGCTCCAGCTCCACCCGAGAGGACGATTCGCATACGCAAACGAGATCTCGGCGGCTTCATCAGTACTGGATTGGATGAGAATCCGCCAACTTGCGATCAAGCCAGCGTCTTCATCCTATCTGACGCACAAGAGCTGTTTATAGGGGGAATTCCACTATACTACTATCTTGGAGATTCTTTTAGACAGCTCCGAAGCACCAACAGCCCCCCAGATGGGGCAGTCACGAGAGGCTTCACAACTGCCAACGGTCTACTCGTCTTTCAAAATCCGGCGCTGCCCAACGGGGAAGCAAGCTTCTGTCAGGACGCCACCAGCGGGCAGGTGTATATTGTTTTCACATCTGGCCCCTCAGGCTGCGTACCGGTCAATATTGTTACTTATGGAGGCAAGTTAGCTCATTCTGTGGACTAGTTGAAAGTCATCTCTGGACATGTAACTTACGTTTCCCAACAGCCGAGCAGTGTCAGAACGGACAGATTGTATCCGCCAGCACAGGTTCCGGTAGTATCCTGCAGACACAAACAGCAATCAGCCCTTCTGATAGCCAATCGACTCCGGGACCAGTCAGTACAGGGGTTATGCAAACAGCCAGGCCGCCAACCAGCGATTTGAATACTCAGAGCAGCCAAATATCGGTCGCAAGCTCGAACCCTCAGCTGACCTCCCTGACGATCAGCCGACTGCCACCGGTCAGGTCGACTCTAGCTAGTGAGGCTCAGACTAGCTCGACGACGTTCCGGACGCTCTCTCTATTTTTCCCCAACACTACCTTACAGGACGCCTCGCTTGCTAGAACAACGACCTGGACTACTCCCATGACACCAGTTCCGAGCAGCAGCTCTGCAAGCATTCTGGCTACTGAATCGAGCCAAGCACCTTCCTCACCTACTTTCAACTCGGCCGTCTCTCAGACATCGCCCTCGTTAATAGCGTCTGGTGCGTCTGCCACCACAGGAAGTCCATCGGAGAGGTCTTCTTCAACGTTCATCTCTCCAGAAACATCATCCACGTCCGTATCGCTTTCTGCGTTAGAATTTTCAAGCTCGGTTTCATCGTCTTCTCAATTCTATCTCCCAAGTACATCTACCCAAAACCTGCCATTCTCGTCCACCGCGCCATCATCGACGTCGTCGGCAACATCACCTGTTATCCTATTAACATCATCTTCTTCGACACCCACATCGACATTATCCTCGGAATTTACCTCCATCCACATGACGGAGTCTTCGTCTACCTCACCTATTTCCACAAGCAGTAGCTCGATTGCATCAACAGCTTCATCGAGCGGTTCAAAAACACAGGCATATTCTTCATCTAGCTCATCATCGACCAGCTCATCGTTTTCCTCCACAACTACATCGACGCTCACCACAACCACGTCCATCACATCGTCTAGTAGTTTCTCAACCAGCTCCCCAACCAGCTCTTCAACCAGCTCCTCGAATATCTCATCAAGCATTTCTTCATCAAGCAGTTCATCAAGCAGTTCTTCATCAGCCCAGCCTTCCGCCACTGGATGCATTGCACCACCGCCGGTGGCTCCGGTTCAGTGTAATCAAGCCCAAGCTCCAGCTCAATGCGGCTCAGGAACAATCCAATCATCGAAGCTCTCCAATCCTGTCAGCATCACTACAACCGATACTGACGATGGCTATGGCACCGTAACCCTGCCGTTTGCCATAGGTGTAAACGGCTCTTACGCAACTACGGTGTATGTGAACGTTAATGGGATGATCTCATTGTACGACCCATCGTCGGCTTTTTTCCCACAACAATTGCCATCAACGTACGACCAAACAATCCCTGGCTACGGCAGGTTTACCATGGCAAGGGTCGTTATTTTGACATATCAGACAGACCTGATGATTGTCTCCGGAAGCCACATATACTACCAGATTTCTCCTTCTTCCCGGACAACTGGGCGACAGGTTACTTTCGAGTATATCGTTGCCAACTATAATACCAATGCAAACCACCACTTTACGACAACATTCTACGAGAATCTTCCAGGAGTGGTTACCATGACCTACTATCAATCCGCAGCCAAGGGCACGGATGCTAGCATTGGTATTCAAAATCTAGACAACGGTCTAGCTTATCAGTATTCGTTTCAAACGGCTTCCGTCCTGGATGGTACCTCTCTAGAGTTTGACACTAGTTCCTGCAGTGGCAGCACCTATACGTGTAGTTACATATCGCTAGTCTGTTGAGAAGCCGGAACGAAGCTTGTGCTCAACTTGCCAATGAGTATTGTTCTTTCATATCTAGGTAGGTACAAATGGGATCAAATCAAATTGCGGAACACAGTCCATTTCGCGTTTGTGGGCAGTTTGCCGTGATTTAGCCAGTCCAATTATCACATATTTTCTGCCGGGTTCTCGTTAGCATCTTTCCGCTCAAACATACTATTTGTCGCCAGATACCCTTTGGCCGAATGGCCACGGCTGCTCGCGAATTACGATCAATTTTCTCGTCCATAGTCCTAACGGATACTAGACACCACAGTAGTTCACGCAATACGAGAGATCCTCGATCTATGCCTAAAAGCAACACTTGAGTGTCTGACAAATACGTTTTTGGTCAATCGTAAATGTCTTGCTATTTCCGCTGGGCTTAATACATAAGATGGCTATCTTGAATATTTTTCATTGGGATTGATGATCAGTTCCCGAATCTCTCTGGCAGAATGTTGGAATAGCACTAATCATTGGCGGATAATCTACATGTGAAGAAATCCTTGTCACATGGCGTGACGGCTTGATTGACAGAAGATCGCGGGAAGGTTGAAGATTTTCTGCCAAGTCGTGACAAGCTTCAGGTGAGGTGGGCCACTTGGAGAAAAAGAGTTGCGATCTGCGAACGGCGATCGAGTTCTTGGAGGAAAGCCGATCACATTACCCGGATTTGCAGCGCGTACCCACCGTACTGCGAAGATCTCAAGTTGCCGTGATTCGGGTAGATAAAAATACGCACACCAGACTACGCAATAGTGCGGAAAAACGCGTCGCAATGCCGTGTCAAATTGAATTCGCGCACAAGCCACTGAAATACCTTAGTGTAAGTCGCATTGCGCCCACAACCGCCCACTGCGGCGTATCGACATGGGATGCATGATTTAAGGTAAGTAGGGTTTCGGAGAGATGCCGTGCGTGCGGGCGGGCGGTACGGGTGGGAGGTGAGCACTGACGTTCCAGCGACCAACACCGGCAATCCGGCACATGGCGCGAGAAACTTTTTAATCAACCGCGATCGGGGCGGAAAGTCAATTCAACGTCACTTGATGAAAGAGGCTCGCGATGGTAGTTTCCAGGAAGATTGTTTGCATTTATATGTACATGTACACACACTGTTTATACATGTTGTGAAGAAGCTAAAAAGGTATTTACGGAATAGAAGAACCGCCCCACACTACCAAACCCAAGGTCAACCTTGGGGTGCCCGAATGCTCGAGAAGGGCGCGTCTGAAAGCGACGGCCGGGTAGTAAGAGTGGCCGGCGAGCTGCTGCTGCGGAAAAGAAAAACAGCTTAGAGCTTGCCGTAGCCGGCAGAAGAGCTGCTGACGGAGGACGCAGCGACGGCGTCGGGGATGTCGGCGCTGCCGAACTTGTTGAGGACGGAGCTGTCGGTGCCGGCGTAGGAGCCGGAGCTGGAGAAGCTGTTGGCCTGGCAGGAGCGGCCGAGCTTAGAGGAGCAGGTGGAGGCGTTGTCGGAGGTGATGGCGAGGTTGGCGCCGTCGCCGCCGGCCTCGATGGGGGCCTCGACGTTCTTGAAGACGTTGCCCTCGAGCAGGACGTAGCCACCGGAGGTAACCTCAAAGGCGTGGCCGGTGGAGGACTCGAAGACGTTG